GGCAGAGAAGGTATTGATTCAGATCTCGCTCTGGTGAATCACATCACAACCTAATTCGTTGACCAAAGGCTGTGACAGCAGCTGGGATGTAAGATCACCTCATTGTTATATATCTGATCACACTGAATCACCACAGGAACTCTATTCAGTTTACGTGACTGACATCAGAACTGGACTGGATGCAAAAGTAAATCACCGTTCTTAGTTTTTAGCCTCTGAAATTTCATTTGTGGTCAGTTTTCACACAACTCCTCTTCTCTGATTCAAACTGCTTTAGAAAAAACACTTAAGAGACAGTATTTTCTTGTCAGAAAATCCCATGAAAAGACCAGAATTAACAATTTATTCATCCAAATAGGAGGTAGTACTGTTTCTCTATCCTAATCCTGACACAGCATACTCCTCTCTGCCAATGACCACCCTCCAAAAACTATTAAAAACAAATAAATGAGCGGCTCTGTCCCACATACACCATCTTACTACTGTAGATAATCATTAGAACAACTTGGACCCTGTTAGAGGGCCAACAAGATAAATCTGAGGGGCCATGAGATGATGAACAGGTTAGAAATAAAATCTTTTTTCCTTTTCCTATTCCTTTTGTTTGTTTGTTTGTTTTTGTTTTTTTTGGATTTTTCTCCTCAGCCCTCAACAATTATTCAAGTTAAACAATCTGAGAGATAAAAATCACAACAGGCAAAATGAGAGAACATAAGTAGAGATTGCTTGTTTTCAAGCGGTCACAAACTAAAGAGGTTGCAAACCAGTGCACCAAATGTGTATTAACTCACAGCTGAAAATAGTCTCCAACAAAAGCACTATTTTCTTATTGGAGTAAAAACAAAGTGCTTGGTTTTACACAGTACAAAAGGTTTCAGTGTCTAGCACATGTTTATAGCTTAAACTTTTTAATAAGGTGTAACAACTAATGTTTTGACATAAAGATTCTCTTCATTAGAGTAGGAGAAGGCATGTGCCCAGCTAATAGCTGTCTCTTATAGCATATATAAGTTGTAGACATTGCTAGATATTTTTTGAAATTTTAATTAATTACTAGGGATATTGGGGTGAAATGATACATTCCTCGCTGTACATTTTGCAAAACGGTTCTACGCTAATGATCAGCGACAAATCTAAGAAGGTAAATTTATGTTAAATTTGTTCTTCCTGGATTTCAGAAATCCCCCTTTACATGTGAGTACCCCTCCTAAAACCTGCAACAACACCTCCAACAACAGAGTATTTTTGTGCTCTTTTTGTCGAGGAGGGAAACACTCTGGAAGAGTGAATCAGGAAGAGACAAACGGCAAGAAATGAGTGGACACACTCCCACAAACGCCCGAACTAAAGCATGACAAAACAACAGAGCAAACAGCTAAACAGGGCGTTCACACTCACCGTCTTCCCTGCATTCTTCTGGTGGCTTCGCTTTCTTTGCGAGCCGAGGATCCAGCCATGATGTAGTTTTGGTGTTGTGACTGGAGGGGCAAAGGGGCAAACAAGGGTCAGAGAGAGACTGACAGCGAGGATAAGAGAAAGAAATTAGTGCACAGTAACTCTAACGACCTGTACGTAAACGTTGGTGTGTGTGTGTGTGTGTGTGTGTGTGCAAGGGCAGAGGAAATGTGGGGGTGGGGGAGTCCATTCTCAGCCCGTGTGTGTTGGTAAACTAGCTTTTATCTGTTGTCAGGCTTTCCTCCATCTTGAGTGGCGGCCTGGAGCTCCCAGGTTAATTTAGCATAATAATGGCTGCCGGCCATTCACTGCTACTCTAAAATGGTGGACCGCTGCAATCACCCAACTATCTTCTCTTTTATTCTTTCTTCTCATTTCCCCTCCCTCCAATCCCACCTCTTCCTGCCGAAGAGCAGTGTATCCTTTAATCTTTTCCTCCTCTCCAACCTCCTCCCTCCCATCTTCCCTCTTCCTTTCTGTCTTTCTGATTTCAGCCAAGCATTGAGCATTTCTCTTTTTCTTCTGCTGTCCCATGTTGTCTTTTGCATTTAGGCACATTAAGTTTCCATTTTTTTAAAATGAAGTTTGGCATGGCACTCATGAAGTTCAAGCTCTTCATTAGTCATGGTTCATTCCCCATAGGGAAGTCATACAGTATGTATGTAGGTCTTTATAATATATATTTTCATGGCTTTATATGTTCATCATGCAGTTAACTGTTGGTGTGTACTCCTTTTCTAGTGGTAAAGTTCCTTCCTGAATCTGACTAGTTGTTACTATTAGTTTTTAACTTTTCCAACTTATTAAAATACATAATTTATTTTAAAAGCTGTGAAATGAAGCCTCTCACTTTGTGTAGAGAAACATATGGCAAATATGTTCCATTGCATTTTTGGGGGATTTATGTGAGATTTCCCCTAGTGGGTGGAAAAATAAGCTCCAAAGCGCAAGGGTTTTTCATGTGGCCCGTACCACGCTACAGTATGTTTTCTTTCTGCTCAGTGTATTTGCATCTCCATACGAACAAATAAGCCACCACAGAGCAGACTGAAGCCCTCACTTAATTGGTGTAACCAGGATGTTGGGGCTTGTACTCTTAACCCTTTGAATGCAGGCAGTTTTTCACTCCCTTTTTATTTACAAGTACGTGGCATTGTAGCTACGAGTCATGTCATATTAGCTAGGTATTTCCAGAATATGTTAGGATAGTTGCACATCACTACATGCTCTTGGACCTTTTTACCCTAGATGTCCACATGGTTTCAACACACCACTGTACATGAATGGATAGTGGAGTGTCCTGGCATATTAGAACCATGTTAATAGGACCTTCTATGCTTTACTACATCATAAACTCAAAGCCAACTTTCATAAGAACTCACTATATTTTGCCCTCATGGTTTCCATCATGCATCCGGTGCTTGGCAGTGGGTTAGCCTATTATTTAGCCTATATTGTGTTGGTTTTGGTAGACCTGCCATTAGCTGCAAGCACTTCCTATTAGCTCTGGTTTAGGTGATTTTGAGGCAATATTTGAGTATTTGTATGTGATTTCTTCTAAGTTCATGGGTGTATATTTGTGATTGACACTAGAAGGTTCTGGTCTTTCCTGCTTTCACAGGATTCCAGCAGCATGTGCCTCAATGACACAAATAGTTTGCACGGCCCAACTTGTTCTCAATGAAATAACTGAAAATCAGATGCTTTCCCCACTCCCCATTAATTTCAGCTGTCTAGGAAGGTGTGTGTGTGTGTGTG